TTCAGTTTTGGAATTTTTCAATTTACTTATTATTCAATTTTTCGATCTTACGATTTTGCAGGTTTTTGATTTTTCAGTTTTTCGATTTTTTTAAGGTTTCGATATTTCGACTTCACTTTTTTGATTTTTCGATTTTTCAATTTTTTGTTTTTTTAGATTATCAGTTTTTGGATATTTCAGTTTTGGGATTTTTTAGTTTTTCGATTCCAATTTTTTGGAATTTTAATTTTTCAATATTTAAAATTTTTGATTTTTCGATTTCTCGATTTTTCATTTCAGCTCTTCGATATTTCAGTTTTTCAAGTTTTCGAATTTTTTTAAGGTTTCAATTTTTCGACTTCACTTTTTGGATTTTTCTATTGCTCAATTTTTCGACTTTTTAGGTTCTCAGTTTTTGGATAATTCAGTTTTCGGATTTTTCAGGTTTTCCATTTTTCAGTTTCTCCATATTTCAGTTTTGGGATTTTTCAATATTTTGATTCTTCGACTGTTCGATTGTGTAGATGTTTTTTCTTTTTCGATTTTTCAATTTTTCGATTGCTTAATCTTTCGATTTTTCGACTTCCGGTTTTAGATTTTCTGTTTTCAATTGTCGTTTTAAATTTTTCGATTTTTCAATGTTTTGATTTCCCGATTTTGTTTCCCATTTTAGTTTTTCTTTCATTTTTCAGTTTTTCGATATTTCAGTTTCGGGATTTTTCAATATTTCGATTTTTGACTCCTGGATTTTTCGATGTATCGATTTTTTTACTTTTTCGATTTTTCAATTTTTCGATTTTTAAATTTTAGATTTTTTAATTTTTAAAATTTTAGTTTTTTTTAATATATATGGTATCGTTTGAACAACACGATACTCAAAATCATGTTTTTAATTTTTTGTAACGAAATAAGTATTTTGCAGTTAAACTCCGCCGCCTTGACTCACGGCGAATAAAAAAAATCATCACAATTGAGATAGGGTGGGTGGGCGGGCTTACATTTTGCCCTTTTTTCTTAATATACACTTGTTTTCACAACATGAAACTTAAAATATATTTAAAATAGAAAATTTGTATAAGGAAATATCGATTTTGCAAGTAGGCTCCACCCCATAATTACAAAATCCATATTTCCTTGCAAAAATGTACCATTTTAAGCAGGTTTTAAGTTTCTTGTTGTGAAGAGATGGCTACGTATATCAAGAATAAGAAGGCAAAATATGTTATTTTAAGAATTTTAGGCTCTTTGATGACGGCATCTCAAAATATTGCAATCTTGTATTTGATCCCAATTTTTGTGGCCCTTTTTCCTTATTTTTAGTAGTATTTTTACCCTTTTCTTCAGTTTTTCCGCATTTTTTACTTCTTTAACTTCGTTTTTTTGCGCCTTTTTTTATGCATTTTTTATCGCTGCTCTTATTATTATATAACAATTAATTTAACTTTCAAATCGCCAAAAACGTTTGTTTATTCGGTCCAAAAATTTGATGACGTCATTACAGGCTGATGTCCTTTTTCCACCTTTTTTTGTCTCTCTCTCTCTTTTTAAAGTGGCATTTTTGTCTTTCTTCGATTTTGCGTCTTTTTTAGCTTTTTTGTCACATTTTATCCACTGTTTTAATGACCTTTTTCGGTTTTTTCCGCTCACCTTTTCTTTTTTTGTCTCTTCGTTTTTTGTCTCTATTTATCGCCTTTTTTGTCCCTTCTTTGTCGTCTTTTTTATGTCTTTTTTTCTTTTTGTACTTCTATACCTGTGGTTTATTAATGATGTAATATTATTAAACATCCAGATTAAAAAAAAAAAATTAAAATCGTAACATTTTACAATGTAACTTTGAAACTCCAAAACCGATTGCTCTGAAATCTTACTAACATTTTAAAGTTATCGAGAGCATGGTAAATCGTTAATCAGAATTTATTTATTTATCCCCACCAAAAACTCGATAACGTTATCTCAAAATTTTGCTTGATAAATCTTAATTTAAAATCGACACTTGACATATTTTTTACTTCCAGAGCGTAAGTTAAATAAATATTGTAATCGAGTTCATTGGACGACTGGCTACTTTTATATTTTCTCGACGTTTCATGCCCTCTAGAGTACGAAAAAATAGACCTCCCGTTTCAGTCCATCGTCTGTCGGATTTTTATTAAATAGTTAATCTCCGATCATCCCCACCAACAATGGGATGACGTCATCTACAATATTTAAATTTTATTAAATAAGATAAGAGACTATTGCACATGCGGTTTATAAATCCGTGTTGAATTTCATAAAAATTTCTTCGTTTATGCCCCCTTAAAAATTGATGACGTCATATTACAATTTTGCTGAATAAATAAATGTTCTTTAAAATTTTATAGAATGACATACTCCTGCACGTGTGATTTCTGAATTCGTGTCAAATTTTCACCCTACGGATCCAGATTTTTGGAAAAAAATTCAAAATTGTATTTTACAATTTAACTTTGAAATTGAAAAATCGAACATTTTAAGGTTTTAGCAAAAATGATAAAACTCTAATCAAAATCTACTCGTTTGTGGCCTCTCCAAAAATGATGACGTCTTCTTACAATTCTTGAAATTTTATAAAATAAAATGCTCCTGCATGTGATTTATGAATCCGTGCTAAGTTTTTAAACTTGACATCCATATTTTTGGGAAAAATATCAAAATTATAGAACATTTTTCAATTTATTGTCGAAATAAGTCTACACCTATTAAGAGGAAAAAAAAACAAAATGTAGTTGTCTGATCGAGGGGCGGAGCTTATTTGCATGATCCATATTTGTCTACAAGAATTTACTATTTTAAACATGTTTTAAGTTGTTTTGAATAGACGACTACGCATGTTAAGAGAAAAAGACAAAATATATGCCCCGCCCACCCGCCCTATCTCAATTGTGATGATTTTTTTTTATCGTTGAGAGCCAAAGGAGCGGAATTTCATTGCAAACTCTTTATTATTTTTCTATAAGAAATTACCATGTAAGACATGTTTTTGAGTATCGTGTTGTTCAAAGAATACTACGTATATTAAGAAAAAAACAAGCCAAAAATTAAGCTCCACCCATATCTATTCCCATTCGTTGCCAAACCGAGGGGTGGAGCCTAATAGCAAAATCGATACTTTCCGACAAAAATTTACCATTTTAAACATGTTTTACCTTTGTTGTTATGAAAAGAAGACTACAGATATTAAGGATAAGTACTGACAGAAACTGCAGTGTAGAAAATAATGGCAGCTATTTAAAATATTAGGGTTTCCGTGAACAGGTGATTAAATGGCTTATTATTAGTGAAATTTGATTTTCGTGGAATTAGTACTGTCAACCAGAAAAATGTCGCCCCTACATATACTGTCCCCTACTTCAGGGGATTTTTCTTCAAGTTGACAGCACTGCACACTACCGCAATTTGATTGGTTGAAAACCCAACGTTAACGATAACGTAACGGCGAACAGTTACGTCAGCGGCAAGTTTATAAATCAACCTTACGACTTGTTCTTGGCATCACACTTTAAAAAAGAACGTTTAGAATGCGAGCGCAGCGAGCACGTTCAAGTTTTATTAAAGAAATTGGTCTAAAGTTATAAAATAGAGTGGGCCAATCATTAATTCTTTTGACTAAGCCTGTATAAGTAATTATAAAAACAATGAATGCAATGATAAACTTCATGTATTGGCTATATTTAGTTTTAAAACAATAATATCCACGCACTGCTAAAATCACAATTCGATAGTTATGCAACCAACATTACTGGCACGGACACCTCGATAATTAAAATACAAACGCATCATTGTTTTCGAATAAACATCAAAACTTGTCACAAAATATAAACAAAAAAATTTAACTTTGTCAATAATATTTTTAAGTTCTCACTTAAAATACTGAAAAGAATATAACAGGAGAAAATTTTCTTGGTATGACTGGTTGCATAATCAACCAACTCACGTAATACATATGCATGGTCTCTACTGTGGTGTCAACTTAAATCTAAATAGCCCTTTGTGGCCCTATCTTCAAAGATTTTAGGCAGAACCTCACCTACCTAGACTGTGTCAGAAATAATGTAAAACGCCGTTCCCCATTATAGTTATATGATCATTTTTATATTACATCATCATATAAAAATTTCTGGACAAGAAATGTCCTTTTTCAAAAGTTTATTGTAGTTTTTTTTAAGATAATACAGTATTTTGTTAAAATCAGGCAACCAAATATACAGATTCATAAATTTGAGTTTGTAAAATTCATGTCTCTAATAAAAATCGACACAGACGACGGACGAGAGATAGACGGAAACGAAGACCTATTGTTTCGTACTCTAGAAGCCACGACACGTCCAGCAAAAATGAAACTAGCCATTCCTGCTATGGAAAAAATTAAACATAAGCCCTATGGAACTGAAACGAAAGCGATTTATTCATCACATAGCCAACTGTTACGTTGTTAATATGTTACGAGCCACTGAACACACGGCACAACATTCGAACGAACACTGTTCCACTTTCTTTATTTGTTTTTAATATGAGGTTGCATCGAGAGCTAGAAAATTATAAATAAAACCAAGTACGAAATCTACACGAAATTTTACTTACTCGCCGCGTCACCCTCCAATTTTAGTCGTCTACATTTTAATCTCCAATAATTTATTACTTTCGTTATTCTTAGACCCCATAAATAAAATATAAAGGGGCAAGTGCTTTAGACATATTTACTGTCGATTAATAATCAAACAATGAATATTTAAAATTTAATAACCTTTCAAGTCAACACAATTTTTCACATCGAAAATACAAAATTTCCCACCGCAACCACCCCTCGCTCTAAACACCGTCGATAATTAAAACATCATTCCAATAACCGCCCATTAATTAATGTCCACCCATTCCTGGCACTTACTTGCGGTTGGAGGGGTTACCAGCGGCCAAATGCTTCCTACCTTTTCAAGAAGGGTCATTATTATTGCGCGGTATTATGGTATTATGCACGGCCGCGCCATCGATTGTTACAGATTTCTCGACCGTAAATGGTAAATTGTAGTCATTCGTGTGTTGACCACTAAGTGTGAAGGTGATGGTACTGGTCTAGTTGGCGCGGTTTCGAAACCAAAAGTGGCTTTTCTTCTTCTCCAGGGGCTCTACTACCAAAACGCGTAAGAGAAGTGTTACTTTATTACCATTATTATTATTATTATTATTATTTTCAATTGTTGGCTTCTTGGGGAAGTTTCACTGTTCTTTGTAGTTCCTATGGTTTTTTTTTTGTGTTATTAATTGTTTAAAATTATTATCAAGAAAAATAATACGGAAAGAAATAGGAGTAACAACTAGGTTTTGTGATTATAATATTGTGCCTTTTGGCGAAAATCGATACTGGTTTTTCTCGAGTGACTAATATAATATTCCACGACTTCTTAAGTAAATGTTTAATTAATTTCGAAATTCTCAGACGTCTTTGTCATTTGTGATAACTTTGTGTTAGTTCTTTTTATCGCAGTTCGATTTATTGGTATTTGTTGATGAAAGTAAAAAGAGAATAAGGATTAATTTTTTTTTAAATTGCGTTCGAACATTAGAAATAATCTAGTTCGCACTAGGCTTAAATTTTGTAAATTTATTTATTATTTAAATTGATTTACTTCCTACTAGTTATATTATAAAATACCATAAATCAAATTACATTTCAAGGCGCTTCTTTTTACTTAGGTAATTCCATTATTGTTGACAGGTTATAAATCATAACTAAAAATTCATAATAAAGTTTTAGAGATTCAAGAGGTACCCAATTGCCTATATTTTGAAAACAAAATAGTAATGTCCGCTTTAAAAGACTGTGATTGTCAGTCTATATTTGTTTTAAGTTTTGTGAACTAATGTTAGTGGTATGATCAGGGCCGGATTTAATAATCATGACGACCTAAGCAAAATCTTAATACGGATCATTACTTCCAAACCTATTTATTAAATAAATTACAAAAACATATTTTAATCGAATTTAAAACGTGCTTTGAATAGGCGTATTTTAAGTCTATAATAATTAATTGTGATCCTTATTTTACTTTCTCTTTATACATAAATCTCGAAAGAATGTAGACCCAGTGGTAAGGCCTCACGAACTCAATTCGTTTAAGCTATTATCATTATTGTCGTTGAGAATTTGATAAGTAAAACGTCATCTTGATAACAGTGACATAAAATGCCATTAAACAATGTATAGTAAAGCCTAAAATTCAAACATAATTGTATTTGAGACAAAACTGAATTTTGATGTTGGTCTATTTTCGTTTTTAAGTTTGTGGACCAACGCTAGGGTCAGTTTACCGAACAGATGGAGTGATCACGTGTGCTTTACGTATCTTTTATTGTTTATGAATCCACCTTACATTCCTTATTATGCAGTAACACAGTATTCAATTTTTATTGTGGGTATTTTGATCACTTATTAGTATGATTGGAACAAGTTTTAACCTTAAATTAGAAAAAAAGCACACAATTATGACAGATTTTGTGGGATAAAATTAAAAGTGGAGTATTTAAGTTGATTACTACAAAAGTTTACCATTTTAGACATCTTGTTGTCGAAATAAGGCTACACATTAAGAAAAGAAGGCAAAATGTAGCCCCGCCCACCCACCCTATCTCAATTGTGATGATATTTTTTTATTCTTCGTGAGCCAAGAACGCGGAGCTTAACTGCAAAATCCATATTTCCTTACAAAAATTTACCATTTAAATTTCTAAGAATAAAAAAATCATCACAATTGAAATGACGTGGGAGGGCGGGGTTTATATTTTGGATGTTTTTTCTTAATATACATAGTATTGTTTAAACAACACCATACACAAAAACATGTGTTTAATTTCTTGTAAGGAAATAAGTGTTTGCAGTTAAGCTCCGCCCCTTTGGTTTTCGACCAATAAAAAAATCATCACAATTGAGATAGGGCGGGTGGGCGGGCTTACATTTTGCTTTTTCATTTTAATATGTGTAGACTTCTTTTCACAACATGAAATTTAAAACAAGTTTAAAATGGAAAATTTGAATGAGGAGATATCGATTTTGCAAATAAGCTCCGCCTTATAATTGTAAAATCCACATTTCCTTACAAAAATGTACCATTTTAACCATGTTCTAAGTTTCTATTGTGAAAAGATGGCTATGTATATTAAACAAAAAAGCCAAAATATATGACCCGCCCACCCACCCTATCTCAATTCGGATGATTTTTTTATTCGTCGTGAGCGAAGGAGGCTAAGCTTAACTGCAAAATCCTCTACGAGAAATTAAAAACATGTTTCTGTGTAGGTGTCATGTTGTTCAAAGAATATTATGTACATTACGAAAAAAAGTAAAACCAAAGATTAGACCCCACCCATACTCTCCCCGATATAGTATAGTGATGAATTTTTCATTCGTTGTCAGATCGAGGGGCGGGGCTTAATTGCAAGATCCATATTTGTCTACAAGAATTTACCATTTTAAACATGTTTTAAGTTTCTTGTTATGGAAAGACTACTACATATATTAAGAAAAAAGTCAAAATATAAGCCCCGCCCACCCGCCCTGTCTCAATTCTGATGATTTTTTTTTAATCGTCGAGAGCCAAAAAAGCGGAATTTAATTGCAAAACCCTTGTTATTTCTCTGCAAGAAATAAAGAAAAAATTAAAGTCAAAGATTAAATTCCACCCATACCTGATCTAGATAGTTATGAAGTTTTCATGCGTTGGCAGACCTAGAGGCGGAGCCTAAGGGCAAAATCCATGTTTCCCTACAAAAATTTACCATTTTAAACGTGTTTTAAGTTTCTAAGAATAAAAAAAATCATCACAATTGAGATGGGGTGGGTGGGCGGGGTTTATATTTTGCCTTTTTTTCTTAATATACATAGTAATCTTTGAACGACACGATACTCAAAAACATGTTTTTAATTTCTTGTAAGGAAATAATTATTTGCAGTTAAGCTCCGCCCGTTTGGTTTTCGGCCAATAAAAAAATCATCACAATTGAGATAGGGCGGGTGGGCGGGCTTACATTTTGTTTCTTTGTTGTAATATGTGTAGACTTCTTTTCACAACATGAATCTTAAAACATGTTTAAAATAGAAAATTTGTAAAGGGAAATATCGATTTTGTAAATAAGCTCCGCCCCATAATTGCAAAATCCATATTTCCTTGCAAAAATGTACCATTTTTACCATGTTCTAAGTTTCTTGTTGCGTAAAGATGGCTACGTATATTAAGAACAAAAGGCCAAAATATAAGCCCCGCCCACCCACCCTATCTCAATTCTAATGATTATTTTATTCGTTGTGAGCCAAGAAGGCCGAGCTTAACTGCAAAATTCTTATTTCTCTACCAGAAATTAAAAACATGTTTTTGAGTATCATGTTGTTCAAAGAATACTATACACATTTCGAAAAAAAATAAATCCAAAGATTAACCCCACCCATACTCTTCCCGATATAGTATAGTGTTGAATTTTTCATTCGTTGTCAGAGGGGCGGGGCTTAATCGCAAGATCCGTATTTGTCTACAGGAATTTACCATTGTAAATATGTTTTAAGTTTCTTGTTCTGGAAAGACGACCACGTATATTAAGACAAAAGGCAAAATATAAGTCCCGCCCACCCACCCTATCTCGATTGTGATGATTTTTTTTAATCGTCAAGAGCCAAAAAAGCTGAATTTAACTGCAAAACCCTTGTTATTTCTCTACAAGAAATAAAGAAAAAATTAAAGCCAAAGATTAAATTCCACCCATACCTGTCCTGATCTAAATAGTTATGAAGTTTTCATTCGTTGGCAGACCTAGAGGCGGAGCCTAAGGGCAAAATCTATGTTTCCCTACAAAAATTTACCATTTTAAACGTGTTTTAAGTTCCTAGGAATAAAAAAAATCATCACAATTGAAACGAGGTGGGTGGGCGGGGTTTATATTTTGCCATTTTTTCTTAAAATAAATAACATGTTTTCAATTTCTTGTAAAGAAATAAGTATTTGCAGTTAAGGTCCCCCCCTTTGGTTTTCGGCCAATAAAAAAATCATTACAATTGAGTTGGGCGGGTGGGCGGGCTTACATTTTGCTGCCTTGTTTTAATATGTGTAGACTTCTTTTCACAACATGAATCTTAAAACATGTTTAAAATGGAAAATTTGTAAAGGGAAATATCGATTTTGTAAATAAGCTCCGCCCCATAATTGAAAAATCCATATTTCCTTGCAAAAATGTACTATTATAACCATGTTCTAAATTTCTTGTTGCGAAAAGATGGCTACGTATATTAAGAACACAAGGCCAAAATATAAGCCCCGCCCACCCACCCTATCTCAATTCTGATGATTATTTTATTCGTTGTGAGCCAAGAAGGCGGAGCTTAACTGCAAAATCCTTATTTCTTTACCAGAAATTAAAAACATGTTTTTGAGTATCATGTTATTCAAAGAATACTATACACATTACGAAAAAAAGTAAATCCAAAGATTAGACCCCACCAATACTCTCTCCGATATAGTATAGTGATGAATTTTTCATTCGTTGTCAGAGGGGCGGGGCTTAATTCCAAGATCCATATTTGTCTACAGGAATTTACCGTTGTAAATATGTTTTAAGTTTCTTGTTCTGGAAAGACAACTACGTATATTAAGACAAAAGGCAAAATCCACATTTACTTAAAAAAATGTAAATTTCTAAGAATAACAAAAACATCAAAATTGAGATGGGGTGGGTGGGCGGGGTTTATATTTTCCTTTTTTTCTTAATATACATGGTATTGTCTGAACAACACGATACTCAAAAACATATTTTTAATTTCTTCTAAAGAAATAAGTATTTTGCAGTTAAGCTCCGCCCCCTTCGCTTACTCCGAATAAAAAAGTCATCACAATAGAGACAGGGTGGGTGGGTGGGCTTACATTTTGCCTTTTTGTTTTAATATGTGTAGACTTCTTTTTAGAACATGGAACTTAAAACATGTTCAAAATAGAAAATTTGTATAAGGAAATATCGATTTTGCTATTAAGCTCCGCCCCATAATTGCAAAATTCCTATTTCCTTGCAAAAATGTCTATGTATATTTAAAAAAAAGTCGAAATATAAGCCCCACCCACCCGCCCTATCTCAATTCTGATGACTTTTTTATTTGTCGTAAGCC